TCTCCCAACCAATCAATCAATTAGTCATTAAAAAAAAACAAAGATCAATGGATTAATCAATCAATCAATCAATCAATCAATTAAACAATCAATCAATCAATCAATCAATCGATCAATCAATCAATCTTTTTTTTTTTTTTGTCCCTGAAACACCCAATGGAACATTTTTTTTTGGGGTAACTTTGGGTAACATTTTTTCTCTTTTTTCTCTTTTTTTTGGGGTAACTTCGGGTAACATTTTTGGGGTAACATTTTTTCTCTTTTTTTTCTCTTGTTTTTTACTTGGGGGGGTAGCCACCCACGTACGGGCGCCTGGGGGCCGTACGAATGCCCCGTATCTGTACGCGGTGTCACAAAGATCAACATCTATACCATCTTCCTCTTCTACCTCCGTCGGAGTCATTTACAAGCTCATCTCCACAACGGGTGGCATATCCCCTGCCCAGACCCACCCTTCCTCTGCAGCTACATCTTCCTCCTAGGTTCCTACACCCTTACTTTCCTCCACAGGAGCCATGGCATCTTGTCCCGCCACCTCCTCGACACTCATCTCCACGACACCCTTGGCATCCCCTCTTGTTCGCCCCCCCCCCCCCAACACCGCCTCCTACACCCAGGAAACAGATTGCTGAGCTCCAGCACCAACTCCACTTGGCTCACTATTACATTCGCCGTCTCCACAGAGGTCAGTCGTTACCTCCCCACTTGGTGGCACAACCTATTGTTCACAGGCTGCTGCGATGCACTTCGCCCTCCCAACGCCTGCAACCAATCTGTGTCAGGGACCATTACCCCAACTTCCTGCCTTACCAGGTGCTACCACCGGTGCCCACATATGTTTTGTCCTCTTGTCCCAGTCGGCTCTCCCTCTCCCTCCTCACTATCGGCCTCCGACGTATGTTCCACAGTTCCGATCGGATCGCATTCCACAGTTCGACGGCAAGGCCTTCGAGCTCCAAGGATGGATCACTACCGCTGAGGAGCAACTTTGCTACCATGGTGTCACCATGGAGTTGTGGTTCGTCGAAATGTCCTTGGGCTCCACAGGTTGTGCAACTTCCACATGGCGTGACTTCCTCGCCAACCGCTCACAGCGTGGTGTACATGATGACATGTCGTACTTTGAGTTTCTAGCGATATTTCTCTCGCCCTATGCCCACACGTGACTCGATCACCCGAGTGGGTGAGATCAGATGGCTTGGTGGCGGCATGCCTTCGAGTCTTACATTTCGGCATTCCACCGCCCATTGCTCAGATCCTGATCTCCGCTATACTAGACGACACCATAATCCAGTGATTCCGAGCGGACCTACATCAGTCATTTATGTGGCAGATGATGGCCTATTCAATCCACACCTTACCTAAGGCCAACAATATTGATCAGGCCATCCCGCTCACTTACGCTCCAGTCGTCTGCCCCTCGCCTCAACCCGTCGCTTCCCATACCGCTACTACTATAGCCCCTCACCCCTATCAGCCTCGACAATCTTCCACATAATGTTGGAGCCCTCGCAGAGGTTTGGTATCAGTATCCCTCTTTCGTCACGTTCAAGCCCTACTTAGTGATTCCTCAAACACTGTGGACGACACCACTTGAGAAAGTTCCGGGAGCGATCACGATCAGGAACCTGACTCCCCGTTGCCCGTTGACGAGGACGTCTTATCTCAGGATGTCCACCTTTCCGGACCCTCTTTGCTTTCCTTAGTCGTCTGTCCTCGTCAACCTCTCCCAACGGATTTTGTATTTCTTCGCAACCGCTTGTCCATCGCTGAGAGTGACGACCTTGATGCACGAGGCCTTTGAACCCGTTGCCGCCTCGCTGGCCATCTCCTCTACTTGCCCGTACGCTGACGCTCTCCTGCGTCACTTCACAAAGCAGGGTTGCCCTCACGCTTCTACCCCCATCTCTATCTCTAGCGCAATAGCAACGTAGCCGTGATGTCTCGTTCCGTTGACTCTCCGACGGTAGCAGACATTCCCATTTGCGACTCAACCTTTGTTGCGCTTGCTACTCTTTCCGATGACTCCGCTCTGACCTTAACCTTGGCTGACCCTATCAACACTGGTATATCTTTTTTTTTCTCGCCTAGCACGATGTCTCAGCGCCTACACAATCCCGATCGCACCTTACCAATTATTTCGGTGCGCCTCAGGACCTCTACTAGAGTGTATCGCGCACTATGACACTCTGGCTCTACCGACGCCTTCATCCATTTTCGTGTAGTCAGGGAGGCATCTCTCTTTACATCCCCCTAGCCTTCCACTGTCACTGTTATAGTTAGTGACAATCAGGCCAAATCCTTCGTCAACTTTGTGGTGCCTGATCTTTCGTTCTCCTTCCCTTTACTGATGCCCCACAAACTTCGCAAGGCCCCTCAGTTCCATGACCAATGGACCTACAACATCATGGAAACCTTATACGGTCTTGTTTTTGGCACTACCGATTCCCATCAATTCGCCCACTCCGGTCCCGATTGGACCGACAACGATCTCGTCCTCGACGCCAAGGATGGGAAGCGATACCGCATTTCGTTGTTGGGAAAATGAGACTCTACATCTCCGTCCCCTGTTGATGTCGTGATCCTGACACCTACTCAGTTTCTCCACTTCCTTCGTCATCCAGATGCCCAACTCTATAATGTCGATATCACGAACCTTCTCACATGTAACTCCATGCATCAGGATGCTAAGTTAGTCGAGCTCAATCCCCAACCTCTTGAGCCCCCGACCCTCCTGATTCCTCAGCTTCCTTACCCTCCTCTATCCCTCCTAGCCCATCTCAATTTTGTCAATTCCCTTCCCACTCAGTCCCTATCTCCACACTGACTTCCTCCACCTCCGCTTTAGACGACGCCACTGCCAAGGAATTTGACACCATTCTTTCTTCCTTGCAGCCCGGCGTTGGTGCCCTCCTTCAGGAGTATCGTTATGTCTTCCGCCTATCCCCCTATGCACGATCCCGAGCACCACATCCATCTCGAATCCAACTACCACATTGAGAATCGCGCCCCCTACGGCCTTTCGGTTCCCAAAGCCCAAGAACTCAAGCGCCAATTCAAGGAGCTGATTCATCGGGGCTTCATTAAACCGAGTACTTCTCCTTAGGGTGCTCCTGTCCTGTTCTCTCACAAAAAGGACGATACCCTTCGCCTGTGTATCGACTACGGCGG